CTATATGGGACTGCTTGTGTTGCCCATGTCTGACCATGTGCAGTTTATCAAAATGGGCCCCATATATTTTTCACATTCAGAACGCCATATAGAGATTACTTATGAGGGAACTACCTTGGGCCATGTAGGCAGCCTATATGGGACTGTTTGTGTTTGCCCATATCTGACCCATGCGGTTTATCAAAATGGGCCCATATATTTTTCACATTCAGAACCCATATAGAGATTACCTATGAGGGAACTACCTTGGGCCCATGTAGGCAGCCTATATGGGACTGCTTGTGTTTGCCCATATCTGACCCATGCGGTTTATCAAAATGGGCCCCATATATTTTTCACATTCAGAACCCATATAGAGATTACCTATAAGGGAACAACCTTGGCCCATGTAGGCAGCCTATATGGGACTGCTTGTGTTTGCCCATATCTGACCCATGCGGTTTATCAAAATGGGCCCCATATATTTTTCACATTCAGAACCCATATAGAGATTACCTATAAGGGAACAACCTTGGGCCCATGTAGGCAGCCTATATGGGACTGCTTGTGTTTGCCCATATCTGACCCATGCGGTTTATCAAAATGGGCCCCATATATTTTTCACATTCAGAACCCATATAGAGATTACCTATAAGGGAACAACCTTGGGCCCATGTAGGCAGCCTATATGGGACTGCTTGTGTTTGCCCATATCTGACCCATGCGGTTTATCAAAATGGGCCCCATATATTTTTCACATTCAGAACCCATATAGAGATTACTTATGAGGGAACTACCTTGGGCCCATGTAGGCAGCCTATATGGGACTGTTTGTGTTTGCCCATGTCTGACCCATGCAGTTTATCAAAGTGGGCCCCATATGTTTTTCCCATTCAGAACCCATATAGAGATTACTTATGAGGGAACTACCTTGAGCCCATGTAGGCAGCCTATATGGGACTGTTTGTGTTTGCCCATATCTGACCCATGGGGTTTATCAAAATGGGCCCCATATATTTTTCACATTCAGAACCCATATAGAGATTACCTATGAGGGAACTACCTTGGGCCCATGTAGGCAGCCTATATGGGACTGCTTGTGTTTGCCCATATCTGACCCATGCGGTTTATCAAAATGGGCCCCATATATTTTTCACATTCAGAACCCATATAGAGATTACCTATAAGGGAACTACCTTGGGCCCATGTAGGCAGCCTATATGGGACTGTTTGTGTTTGCCCATATCTGACCCATGCGGTTTATCAAAATGGGCCCCATATATTTTTCACATTCAGAACCCATATAGAGATTACCTATGAGGGAACTACCTTGGGCCCATGTAGGCAGCCTAAATGGGACTGTTTGTGTTTGCCCATGTCTGACCCATGCGGTTTATCAAAGTGGGCCCCTATATGTTTTTCCCATTCAGAACCCATATAGAGATTACTTATGAGGGAACTACCTTGGGCCCATGTAGGCAGCCTATATGGGACTGTTTGTGTTTGCCCATATCTGACCCATGCAGTTTATCAAAGTGGGCCCCATATGTTTTTCCCATTCAGAACCCATATAGAGATTACTTATGAGGGAACTACCTTGGGCCCATGTAGGCAGCCTATATGGGACTGTTTGTGTTTGCCCATGTCTGACCCATGCAGTTTATCAAAGTGGGCCCCATATGTTTTTCCCATTCAGAACCCATATAGAGATTACTTATGAGGGAACTACCTTGGGCCCATGTAGGCAGCCTATATGGGACTGTTTGTGTTTGCCCATATCTGACCCATGCGGTTTATCAAAATGGGCCCCATATATTTTTCACATTCAGAACCCATATAGAGATTACCTATGAGGGAACTACCTTGGGCCCATGTAGGCAGCCTATATGGGACTGCTTGTGTTTGCCCATATCTGACCCATGCGGTTTATCAAAATGGGCCCCATATATTTTCACATTCAGAACCCATATAGAGATTACCTATGAGGGAACTACCTTGGGCCCATGTAGGCAGCCTAAATGGGACTGTTTGTGTTTGCCCATGTCTGACCCATGCGGTTTATCAAAGTGGGACCCATATGTTTTTCCCATTCAGAACCCATATAGAGATTACCTATGAGGGAACTACCTTGGGCCCATGTAGGCAGCCTAAATGGGACTGTTTGTGTTTGCCCATGTCTGACCCATGCGGTTTATCAAAGTGGGACCCATATGTTTTTCCCATTCAGAACCCATATAAAGATTACCTATGAGGGAACTATCTTGGGCCTATATAGGTTGCTTATATGGGATTGATTGTGTTTGCACATGTCTGTCCGATATAGTTTGGCCATGTGGGCCCCATATGTATTGCCCCATTCAAAACCCATATAGAGATTACCAACGTGGGTGCCACATTGGGCTCATGTAGGCAGCCTATATAGGACTGATTGTGTTTGCCCATGTCTGACCCATATGGGTTATGAAAGTGGACCCCATATATTTTTCCCATTCATAACCCATATAGAGATTATCTATGTGGGTACTACCTTGGGCCCACGCAGGCAGCCTATATGGGACTGGTTGTATTTGCCAATGTCTCACCCATTTGATAAACCCAAATGGGCCCCATTTGTGTTCCCCATTTTGAGCCCATGCCCTCATTTCCCATTAGTGACCCAACTAGGACCCACATAGGGAGCCCACCTATTTTTGCCCATGTGGGACCGACGTAGCTGACCCAAGTGGGCCCCAGAAAAGATGCCCATTTTGGGACCATACCCACTTG